AAATATTTAGCACCATATGTGTCACAATAATATCTATTAATCGCCTACATGACACGACACTTGGCGAAAAACTGGAATGCTTAGTGTCGATGTCTGGTGACTTGGCTGCGAGACCGACTTTATTAATTAGTGACTAGTTTTATGCCCCGGGCGATGCCGAGGTTGTTAATTGAATTTTAGGATAAACCTTTTGGCTTGAATGTTAATACGGTCATATAATCACTTTTGATAAATGCAGGATATTTAGACATGCGATATCATACTTAAATTAATTTTACTAAACTGAAAGTATTTTTACCGAGTAAAACTTATTTTTACTAATTCTCTATTATTTTAAATATATTATAAATGGATATTATTTTAAAGAATTTTTTAAATCGAATTTTATGATGGAAATAAAACCGAGTTATTAGATTTTTATTAAAAGTTAAATTATGTATATATGAAATATTAGTAGTGTATTGATAATAAAAGTGTATACACATGCATTTTTATTTTCAAAAATCTATCCAAAATTCGATTAGTTAGCATCCTATTTGTCGCCTACGTGGCACAACACTTGGCGAAAAACTGGAATGACAAATGTCACTGTCTTGTGACATAGTTGCGAGACTGACTTTATTTATTAGTGATATGATATGATATTAGATTTGCAAGACCTTATATAAACATTATTACAAACTATAAGATAGAAAAACTTTTAAATTCCTAAAAGATAAGGAAACAACTAATATTCTTAAAATAAATCAAAGTTATTCTAAAACAAATCTAAAAATAAATAAATTCAAGAATAAAATCCACTCAAGTGAGTGTAAAAACATGTAAGCCAAATCTAGATTAAAATCTAATATATATAAATAAAGTAGGCATTTTTTAAGAGCATTCGGCGCGCCACATAAGCAAAGGCATTATTTTGACCAATTAAAAATTAGATTTCTATTTTATTTTAGAATTAAAAAAATTCGTTTGCCACCTAAGTAAAAGTGACGAATGAGATTTAAGAGTTTTGCCACGTAAGTAAAAACAACGAATATTGATTTATTAGGATTTAATTTATTTAAAAAACTAAAAGTTATCTTTTAAACTAATCATCTTTATAAGATAAATTTTGATAGTGTTTATGACAAAAAAAACTATTTTAAAAGAAATATAAATTATTAATCATTAACTAATATTCTTCAATTTTTTTTTAAAAAAATCAATATTCTACAAAATAAATAAATAACAATAACGTTTAGTCTTTATCAATATTCTTCAAAAAAAAAAAATAATGTGCAATTTTTATCTTTCTAGCAACCCATTTCATGATTAGATAAAATTTTTTATAAGAGATTTATTTGCTACTCCACAAATATATAAGATAGGATGATACTATAAAGATTTGTATACATCATTTTAAAAATATAATTTTGATTTTTTTTTTCAATTGTAAATAGACAATATATATATATATATACTATACAAAAGACACAAACATGTGAATATTATTTATCTACACTTTTTCATGGTGTGAATTTTTTTTTCAGGTCTAATTTGTTGATTAGCAAAAAATATTGGAAATAATGTAAGTATATCAAGGCTTTCTGATGGTAAACAAAATAAATTGATTGTTATTCATTATTTTATAAGATGTATGTTTTGTTTTATTTTACCTAATCTAATTATGTTACTTATCGTATTAAATTTTGTTTTATTGATCCTTGTACCACTTCGCCAAAACCCTCTGCAATAGTAATGTTATTGCTATCGTATGAACCCTCCAATCACATCAAAATTAATTATCGGCTTATATGCTGCACGCGCTAATGGCTTGCGCCTTGGTGGATTAAACGCATATTATAGTTTGGTGGGTACCGGCTCATATTACACCATACTCCATCATCTCCAAAGACGAAAGTTACTGGGGCCGGACGCGAGTAATATACCACCACACAGGGCTATGGCCCGGGCTGTGTTGAAGGCACTGTTAGATAATATTGCTTCAAAGTAGTGGTTGTTAGGAGATATGAGTAACGTAACTATTTTCTTAGTGCTTCTTATTAGTAGAGTTAGTAATTAGTGGAATATACTAGCTTTTAGCTTGCTTAGTTTATTATATACATTATGCCTTTGTACGTTATTTTCACAATGCAATTCAAATTTTTCATCAGTTTGTTTTGTTTCTGTTCAATTTTCATCTCTTTTGTTTCTCTTTCGATCTTGTAATTTCAACAGAATACCTGTCGCGGCCTTTGTTATGCCTCATGCATTGGTTTCTTCTAGGGTCTAGGTTTTGGTACTCTTCCCTAATACAGTACATACTTATTTATTTTTATTTAATTTTAAATTCTAAAAGCGAATAGAATTTTTTCTACTCTCTCGTCCTCTTTTCCTCCCTTCGGGGGTTTTCTAAAGTTTTTGGCCGTTTAGGTCGGAAATAGTGAAGAAATAGACTATTTTCGACCCTTTTTCCCTAATTTTTCTATAGTTTTGTTAGTTTAGTAGTTTGTTTTTGTTTTAGGTTTTTTTTTGTGTTAGGGTTCATAAAAAAGGTAATCATCTTTTGCCCTATTACCAGTTCGAAATCTTCAGATGCGATGCGTTCAAGTGCATCAGATGAAATTACCCTTATGGCTACAACAAATCGTTAGACCTTCTCTCCGAAAAGGCTGTATATTCCAGCGATGTGTACGAGAGATGTACCATAGTGCAAGATCTATTCAACGATCGTAGTTTTGATGAAGGAAACCCTAATTTAATTCAATTTTATGTATTTGTTGATTTAGATTTCATTTGTAGATGTCGTATGCCTTTTGATTAATGAATTGATTTGTTTCAAAAAAAAATCTTATATATTCTTATTTATGAGTAGAAAATAAAAGGAATTGTATCAACGTATCTTGTTAATTTTATTTTATTTTACTCCGTCTTCTATCATGGTCGTTCGTTGTATTATTTTTTTTGGTCTTTTTGTTTTGGATATGCTAAATCCCAAAGGAATGTGGATCCAACATTCACAAAACTAAAACTAATAACAATTTTAAGCATACCTATCCATAAAAAAAAAAAAAAAACAATTTTAAGCAAACCAATGCTAATATTTTACCATCCCGTAATTTGATTAAATAAGTAATTAATTAAGATTATCTTATTCTGGTTATAATTAGAATACCAAATATTAATTATATGAAATCTACATCTATCTCCTTGTACAACTCCAGTATCCAACATAACAAGCTCTATCCTTTTCTTCCTCGCCATCACCAGTATGCATGTCATATGACACACGCTAATTTCTTGTAAGAGGATAACCAAAAGTTAATTAACCCTTGATCTAGAGCGTAGGTGTGACATATTTTTTTTTAAACCAACTAGGACAAAATAATAGATACTGTCAACGTGTGTCTAATTCATCTAAGTCAAATAATTATTTTTTGTATCTTACAATTCAAATAAAGCCATTGTTTAGTCAACTCCTTTCATATAAAACTGAAAAGGGGACTTCCTTTTTTTTTTTTTTTTTAAAAAAAAACGGGAGAAAAGGGGGCTTCCTCCTACACTTTACAAAGTACTAGCTATCTTGGTCAATGTTTTGAAAAAAATGATACATAAAATATTATATCGACATTTATTACTAACTTGAGTATATAAATGCTGAATTTATATAATTAATGGTTCAATCGGATCAAGATTGCTAACATCAGAAATGAATTTATATAAAACATAAACTGAATTTACGTAAAACTAAAATTAGTGAAATAATCAAGAAGGCTTACGACAAAACACAAATTGCACAAATATCATCCAAATTAAAAACCCTAAATCCCTCATCAAACTCCCAACATTATATTCATGAGCTGAAATCTTAAAACTAGGAAAAACATTTTAAAAAAATTGGTACAAGAAAGATCACCCGAGTAAACTACAACTACTCTTAATTACGACAACATTTGCAAAGTCAAGAGTGTCATTCCATGCGTTGCACTTCAACATTAAATTAGTTGTTGTTGTGTAAGCATGAATGTTGTAATCATCTTGCAAGTACTGCCGGAAATGGACTGTGGCTCGGCGATCCGTCGCAGTGTCACCCAAGGGTGCGAATTGAATGAAAGAAACCAAAACACAAAATAAAGACCCAACGAAAAGAACAAAATCAAAGATAGCAACATACAATAGAACAAATTAAACTCATTCATTATTGCTTGAGGTTTTGAAGGCGCTGTAAAAGTTGTTGCTGATGTTGACTTTGCATTGCGTATTCATTCATTATTTGTTGTTCCTGTTGTCGCAAAGCTTGTTTTGATCGTGTGAATTTATCGAATAAAATTCGTTCTTGCTGTTGATTTAGATGTCACTTGTGCTCGAGCGCTTGAAGTAGTTGATCTCGGGCTTTCACTTCACTTAGTAACTCCAGTTCTTGAAATAGTAGTTGTTGAACACTTGGTTGTGGTGGTGGTTGAACAATTGAATCTGGAGGAATGGTAGTCGTAGTGTTGTGACCAACAAGGCAATAATAAGAAGAAGAAGGTTGAAGGTAACGAGGATGATAACCCTCGTTATCAGGTTAAAAAAATACGAACAAGATTATGATTTTATTTTAGTATTTATCATACTTATAATTTTCATATAACTAATATTAGTAAATTAAGGTCGAATATAAGTTGCATAAAAATAAAACAAATTATCCGTTTTCTAACAAGTAAAATAATAAAAAAATTATAGGGTTTAATTAAGAAAAAAAAAATTTCATGAGATTTATGTATAAAAAACCGTGCATCGCACGAACTTTCATCTAGTAATAAACTAAGATAAGCCTTGATTACTCACACATCACTTGTTTTATCCATGTGAACTCAGTTATAAATAAAATATTAGGTGACTTTGCTAACTTAGATACCCAAAATAATTTTTTCTTTCTACTTAAAAACCAACCTCTTAACTTTCTAACATCATGTGATTTCACTAAGTTAATTAGCCTAAACTACTATTAGGTAGATTTCTTGTGTGTGCTGTGTGGTAGATTTATTTTACTATATCTTCCTTTCCATCAAATACATTGTTATTGATCTAATCTGGCAAATTTTGGTTGGGTTGGCCTATATATATTTGATAAGGGTAAGCAATTTACAGTTGAGACTACGTGTAGTTATCTATTTTTATTTTATTTTTCGGAGCCCTTCTTTAGCACCAAAACAAACAATTTTTTTTTTTATTTTAATCAATATTTGAATTTGTTTCATATGAAACCACCCTCTCTACATCATTTTTTCTATGTAACTCTGTGCTTAAAAAAAGAACTAAAATGAGTTTAGAGAAAATAATTTGATAATGAAATATATTAGACCTTTCAACTTAAATGTTTTATTAGTATTATTTGAAACAAACTAGCTAGATTAGCATCTCATAGAGGGCCAACTTAATAATATGAAGGGAAAAAAACATTGATGCAAGAGGTGAACTAGTAAGAAATAAAGAAAGATTAGGCCCCTTTTTGTCAAAATTGGAGAAGATTAGACATTATAGCTTCAATTGATGAACAAAGGAGTAGTTTTTTCTTTTCCTTTTTTTTTCCCTCGGCTATCGCAAATTGAAATAAGCCTCAATTAATCGAGCTAGTATACATTTGTAAAAATTAAATCTCAAAAATTGCGAAAAAGAATTTTTTATAAAAAAAATAAGTAGAAAGCAAAATTTGTTCATCAATTGAAGCTACCACTAGCTTTCTCCGAGCTTGGATTTGTTATGACTCCATCTCTTTTCAATTTTTCTTCCTCGGCTCTTCTACAAAACACAACCCAACTATTAACCTCCAATGCTATACATATACCAATCAAGGTAGATAAGCACAAACAATAGGCCAATTTCACGTAAGACCGGCTTGCCTCCATTGCTTCAAACCCTTGAAAAACATTCACAACCCCTAAAACCACACAAGCATACCCTACAAAATGATGGTATGACTTCCAATATTTTCTATACTTGTTTGTTGTCTTTGGCCTAAATAATAATGCTAGTGTTTGTAGACTTCCCAAGCATACCGCGATAAACCCTAGCTTCCTATGCAACCCATACACTTTTCCAGGCGATAGTTCCCCTAGTTTAAGCCCTATCGCGAAACCAATGGTTCCTAGGAAGAATCCGGTGAGTTGCATGCCGGCATGCACGTAGAACCACGTAGGGCCTAATGCTTCTATATGTCTTAAGTAACGTGACATGATTATACCTATTGGAAGCATGACTCCCCATGAGATTCCATTCATAACACCATGTACTATTTTCAAGGTTTTTAGGTCACTTTCGTGTCTTGCAACACCGGAAAGGAGGTCTATGGTGGTTGCAGAAGAGAGGTCATTGATCGTAGTTGGATGTATGGTAGGTGAATATCCTTGGACATAAACACCGCGATTCCATACAACATGGATTTTTGTTTTGTTAGGGGAGAGCTTGATTGTGGCGTATATTTCAACTTGGGCTCCATCATGTATTGTGGCTAATTTTCCACCATACATTTTTGCTGATGATGTCAACAAGTGGATATGATCAAGAGGGCGTGATAATAATGGAGCCTTTTGAAGTTTAACCGTTGGGTCTAAAATATAAGGGAGGAGGACTAGTTGGCCTGTGTTAGGGTCCGGGAAGGCAATTAGGGTACGGGTGCCTGTCATCTCCGCAGTAGTAGGATTGATCCCCCAACCTACCCATCCCGAAGGAGATATGAAGTTACCAAAGAAGACAAGATCAAGGGTGGGATTGTGCGCGTGGTAAGTCCACGCAAGGGATGCTTGTTGGGTAGGAAGTGTCATACATTTTTCAAAATTTTTGGTACTAGTAATTGTGGTACAATGGGAGGATGTCACGGGTCGAAATTGAGGGGAGAAGACAAGGGAAAATAGGAGAATAAGGATCATGGTGGTAGAGGAAGAGCAAGGAGATACTAAAGAATTTGAAGATATATTTAGTGTTCATGATTTCTAATGATGAAAATAAATGCATATGAGTGTGTGTGATAATTAGATGGGAAAATAATGTCTAGGATATGATAATGCGTGCTTAACTTTGAAGCCAAGACAATAGTAAAAAAAGTTAAGTTATTAGTGGATTATATGTGTGAATTAAATACATGATGTTTGGTAATGTGTTGTAATAATGATGGCTCAGATTTATCCTAACAACTTTATTGCTTGGGATGCAAAACTCATGCAATGATGATGAGCTCTATGTTTGTTGCAATATTTGACGCATTTTAAGTGGAAAAAAGATGCATCAAAGCACATACAATATCTTTAATTTACGTCGTCAAGCAAACTTTAAGAACTAACGGATATAGTCCTCCCAGAACATAATATACTCGGATCTGTATCAAAGTATATAACTTGATTTTTATGATAATTTTTTTATTGGACCATACACAAATTTATAACATGGGAGAATTTTATTATGTATAAAGTACAAACTCAACAACTGAGCAACGAACTAGTGTTATAATTTGGACGTACTTCTACTATTTCTTATTTTGTAGCTTTTATATGAGACAATTAATCCTAACTCACATATAGGATAAACTCCTAACAATATTTACTCTAAAATTCGCCCACTTAATTGGCTGGTTCTCTTGGTAAAATCCTCCTAGATAAAATTTATGCTTGAAAAATGTTACGTGATGATGACGGTCTTACAATTATTGATGATACATCATGAAAATCCATCTATTGGACCAGTTATTAAAGAATAGGTTCAAATATTTTTTAAGAAATACTTCGTATATGATTCACTCGTTATAGTATCCTACGTTGTTTTACATTATTAAAGATTCATTTCTTTTTCTCCAACAAAGTTGATAATTAATTTCCTTTGGAGCATTTGGATAAAAAGATATTCCTGTATTATTTTAGTAGAAAAGGTATTTTCTTAAATTTTAGAATAAGTCTCGGTATACATAAGTCATCATAAATTCATAATGGGTACACCAAAAAATTGATTCATGGTTTGTTAACCAACAATCTTCTCTAACAATCATGAAAATATTATTCAACAATCAAAATTTCAAATTTTATGTATGAAAAACGAGCAACAAATAAAAGTAGAGGAGCGTACAAGTCTATATATATTTAGTATTTACACTTAGGTGTATATTAAAACTTACATTTTATGTGGTTGGTGCAAAGAAAATTATTGAGTACCATATTTCACATGATAATATTGATAAAGGGAAATTATAATGAGTAAAGTCTTGTTCACTTTACCTTAAAAAAATAAAATTCAGTAAAAATAATTTCACTTCAGCAAAAATAATTTCAATTCAGCAAAAATAATTTCAATTCAGTAAAAATAATTTCAATTCAGTAAAAATCAGTAAAATTAAAGAAGAAATATAATAGAAAATCAGTAAAAACTAATTTCATTTCAGTTAAAATAATTTCAGTTCAGCAAAAATAAAGTGAAGTGAACGAGGCCTAACATACACTCGCTATTGCAGAATTGTTCAGCTAAAGTGGCTTAGAATTTTTTAAAAGGATATGAGTAAAGTAAAATAAGTATTATGTACATACTCTGTAGTCGGTATTATGTTTGATAACAATGTACATATTGACCAATAATACATCATAATATAAGAGCACGATTGTATTTTTTATACATTTTAATATGAAACTAGTGATGTTTCTAGCACTAAGATCTGTATATTATGTGGTTATCGAACGTCACTCTTACATGATAAATATGTATTACATGAATATTGTGATGAAAAATAAAAGTTGATACTTTTCCCTTTTCGTAAATCGGTTGAAAGAGCTATCCAGTTTGTTGATGAGTATGACTAATAAATCTATAGAGTTGCATACATTAAATAAAGTGAACAAACTATATAATTAATTCGAGCACTCCGTCATTGGAGTGGTAGCTTGAGCCGGGACTTTATTTTTTTGTGTGAAACAATGATCAGTAGGAAAAATTCTGAAAATTTAAAAACAAAATTTGGTTTTTCTATGTCGTTTGGAGTTGATAGCAGGGGTAAGTCAGGAGGTCTTTGTATATATTGGAGGGAGGGAATCTCATTCTCTTTAGTCTCTTATTCTGATCACCATATTTGTGGCGACTTTTCTGAGCTTGGAGGTCGGGTTTGGAGATTTGTTGGAGTATATGGGTGTGCGGACAGGGCACAAAAGAGCAACACCTGGGCTCTTATGCGTGACATTTACCAGGATTCCCCTTATCCTATGGTGTCCGGAGGTGATTTTAATGAAATTCTTTGTGCCGAAGAGAAGTCTGGAGGTGCTTTGAGGGAGCAGCGTGCTATGGATGCTTTTAGGGAGGTTCTTGACGATTGTAATATGAGAGACCTTGGCCATGATAGTTCGTGGGTGACTTGGGAACGTGGAAATGATCAAGCTGGTATTGTTAGGGAGAGACTCGACAGATTTGTGGCTTGCTCTCGATGGTGTGCCTGGTTCAACCAGGCTCATGTGACCCACTAAACAAAATTCAGGTCGGATCATGTGGGAATTATCCTTGATACGGAGGCTAGAGGGTGTACGAAGAAGAGAACAAGAAAGAAGAGATTCCGATTTGAGACTTGTTGGTTGCTGGTTGAAGGTGTTGAGGATGCAGTACGGAATGCTTGGGACTCCTTTCGTCACCTAGATATGTCAAACAAATTGCTGACTGTAGCCCACGAATTAACCAAGTGGAGCAAAGAAACGTTTGACAATCTAGGTGATTAGATTGCCGAAACAGAAGATGCTCTCAAGGAGGTTCAAAATCAGGCGGGCTCCCAGTTTAATTTTGCCGAAAGTAATAGGCTGGAGGGTATTCTAGATGATCTCCATGAAAAGAATGAGGCGTATTGGTATCTTCGATCGAGGGTTTCTGAAATTAAGGATGGGGACCGTAATACCAAGTACTTCCACCACAAGGCAGCCCAGAGACGGTGCAAAAATCGTATTAAGGGGCTTAAAAATTCTGAAGGCGTGTGGCAAACAGGGAAGAAAAATGTAGAAAAAATCATTCTTGACTTTTATGGATCTTTGTTTGCTAGGGGTGAAGCAGACGATATCTTGGAAGGGGAGGTGCTTGATAGTGTTCCAGCCATGGTGACGGAAGGTATGAATTTGTCTTTATGTCGCCCTTACCCTAAAGATGAAATTTACTCTGCGCTATCTCAAATGAGCCCATGTAAGGCCCCAGGACCGGATGGTCTCCATGCGATCTTTTATCAGAAATATTGGCATATTGTGGGTGATGATGTGACTAGATTTGTCAATAATATTATTTCTAGTAGAATTCCTCTTGACAATATAAACTGTACTAATGTTGCTCTTATCCCGAAAGTGAAGGACCCTACTTGCATATCCCAATTTCAGCCCATCTCTCTTTGCAATGTACTTTACAAATTAGCCTCAAAATCTGTGGCTAATAGACTAAAGCCGCTCCTCCAGGGTTTGGTCACTGAAAACCAGAGTGCTTTTGTTCCTAAGCGCTTGATTACTGACAATGCTTTGATTGCGCTTGAGCTCTTTCACACCATGAAAAAGAGATCTAAGAGTCGTCGTGGATTGATTGCAATGAAATTAGATATGAGCAAAGCGTATGACAGGGTGGAGTGGGGCTTCCTGAGAAAATTGTTGATTAAACTGGGATTTGCCGGAGCTTGGGTTGATACTATTATGGCATTTGTCTCTACGGTTCAATACTCCTTCATAATTAATGGGGTCCCCTCAGACCTGCTCACTTCGTCTAGAGGTCTTCGTGAAGGTGATCTGATCTCCCTTTATCTCTTTATTCTAGTTGCTAATGTTTTATCTAGAATGTTACAGACAACATCGGAGAGGAAAATGATCCATGGAGTACGGGCTAGCAGAAATGGTCCGGAAATTACTCACTTATTCTTTGCAGATGACAGCCTATTATTTACTAGGGCCACCAGACAGGAATGTTCTATCATTGTTGATATTCTCAACAAATATGAAGCAACTTCTGGACAAAAAATTAATTTGGAAAAGTCGGAGGTCTCTTTTAGTAAGGGTGTTCAATTGCCATCTTGGATCACTTTCAGCTCTATTCTTGGTATGGAAATGGTTGATAACCATGTTAAGTACCTTGGGTTGCCGACTGTTGTGGGGAGATCGAAGAAAGCGGTTTTTGTTTTTGTGAAGGATCGTATCTGGAAGAAGGTTCAAGGTTGGAAGGAAAAACTACTGTCAAGAGCTGGGAAGGAAGTTCTCCTCAAGTCTATCATCCAAGCCATTTCGACATACTTAATGGGGGTGTACAGATTTCCGGAGGGATTGATTCAGGTAATCCATGCTATGATGGCTCGTTTTTGGTGGGGGACAAATGAAAAGGGGAGGAAAATTCACTGGAAAAATTAGGATACATTATGTCAACCAAAATGTCTCGAAGGCATGGGTTTTAGAGATCTGGGAGTGTTTAATACGACTCTATTAGGCAAGCAGCTCCGGCGTCTAGCAACCAACGAGCAATCTTTGGTGAGTCGAGTTTTTAAGGCCAAATATTACCCTCGTACATCAATTTTTGAGGCTGCCCTGGGTTCGATTTCAAGGTACTCCTGGAAGAGCCTATGGAGATCCAAAGCTCTTGTGAAGGAGGGGATCTTATGGAGGGTGGGTGATGGTCTAAACATCAATGTATGGACTGAACCTTGGCTTATTGATGATGAGAGTCGCTTTGTGACCACAAAAGTTCGGCAGGATCTTTGTACGAAAGTTGATGAGCTTATTGATAGGGGAAGATGTTGTTGGGACTTGAACAAGGTAGAATCTATCTTCAATGAACGAGACAAATTGGCCATTCTCACTATCTCGATCAGTGAACGCATGCCAAAAGATAGCCTTTCCTGGGCTTAGTCTAAAGATGGGTTCTATAGCGTGAAGACAACATATATCCTTGGAAAATCACTTGCTCTCGACAACTTTGAACAATTCTGGGTTGAAATATGGAAGGCGAAGGTAACACCGAAGGTCCGCCATTTCCTGTGGAGGTGTAGCTTGAACTCCCTGCCTACCCGAAGCCTCCTTCACCACAAACACCTCATAGAAGACCAAAGTTGCCCCTGCTGTGGAACGAACAATGAAACGGCTGTTCATGCTGTGATGCTCTGCCCTAGTGCTCGTTAATTATGGGTGAGATGTGGCTGCCAGGAGGTGCTTGATATGGCCATGCCGAATTCTTTTGGAGAAATGCTGCTCAATTGGGCTAAAAATCTCTCGACAGAAACATATCAAAGGAGTCTATTTCTCTTATTGTTTATTTGGTTTCGTCGAAATAAATGGGTCTTCGAAAATGCATGGGACTCGGACGAGGCTCTTCTTCTCAGGCACAGTAGATTGGTGGCTGATTTTGGTGAGTACACTGAGAAGATTTATGGAGGTACTTCTCCTCCAAGTGAACCAGTGGGTAGACCAGTTTGGACGCCTCCTCCTCACGGCTCAGTGAAGGTTAATGTAGATGTAGCAATTTCAGAAGATGGCTGGGTGGGCTTAGGGGCTATAGCTCGTGATGACAGAGGGAGGGTTCTCTTCTCGGCAGTTAGCAGATCAAGAGCACGTTGGGAGCCATTGGTGGCTGAATGCAAGGCAGCTCTCTTTGGTATAAAGAAGGCAACGGAGAAAAATTTGGGAAATATAATTCTGGAGGTTAACTCTCTAATGCTCGTCTCTAAGCTTAAGAAGGGGTCCTTTTCTCTAGCGGCTGTCAGGGGCGGACCCAATTAAGTGACATGGGGGACAGCTGTCCCCCCAATTTAAAAAAAAAAAATTAAAAAAAAAAAGCAAAACAAATCGCACAGCGCTGCTCCATTTCAATCTTTACTCCAATTCGCCATTACCACTACTCCACTAGTCCACTGCGTCGCTGCTCCACCATTCCACCAACCGGCGACCGTCGAGGCTTCGTGCGTGCGTGGTGCGTCGCTGCTCCTGTGCGGCTGTGCTCCATCTTCAGTCTTCGCTGCAGGCGCGTGCGTGAGTGCGTCAGGCGTCACTGGCTCGCTGCTCCACCGACCACCGCCTGTCCGCCTTGGCCCCTGGGTTCCTCACCACTCGCTGAGTCGCTGCTAAACTTATGGTATGTCTTGCTAAGTTGCTAACCCTAATTCGAATTTTGAAATTCCCAATTTGTTAATTTGAAATCCCCAATTCACCAATTGTTAACCCTAATTTCCAGATTTTTGTTGAATTATTTTAATTTTAATTGCAATATTTGTTGAATTTTAATTTTAATTGCAATTTTAATGTTAGGTTTTATAGTATGCATTTATGCAATGATGTGAATTGTGGAAATTCCGAAATTGAATAATTGATATATATTTTTTAATGTAATTAGGAAATGTCAAATGATTCACCTAATTCAAACAAATCCAAGGCTACTAGAAAACAACCCGATCTTCGACAATTCTTGTCTAAAAGAAAGAAACTCCATGAAAATGAGTCAAATAACTCCCCTTCATTAAGCCCCCCTCAAAGTCAAGAAGATGATATGGAAATGGGTGGTTCAAGTACTTGTAATGTACCATTGGAGGAAAATTTGGTATACGATGTTGAACTTCTTCCTCATGATCCGGGAAAAAGAATAAACATAATGGATTACCCCGCAAATGAACGAAATGCAGTTAGGAGGGGTTATATTCTTAAAAAACCTTGCCAACCAAAAACTCATGAATTTCCTCAAAGACAAGTGTCTGGTTTACGTCGCTTTAGTGTTCATTGGTTCAAGAAATGGGATTGGCTTGAGTATAGTATTGAAAAAGATGCTGCATTTTGTTTTGTATGTTACTTGTTCAAGAATGAAGTTGATAGTTATTCGGGGGGTGATGCATTTGTTGATGGAGGGTTTAGGGCATGGAATAAACCGGAAAGATTTGAGAAGCATGTTGGTGGAATTAACAGTGCTCATAATCTTGCTTATGAGAAATATGTGAATTTAAGAGATGGAAAAAAAAAATCAATCTTGAATGTGTTTGTCAATGCAAGTGAGGTGATTAAAAGTGAATATTTTATCCGCTTGAATGCATCTTTAACTTGTTTAAGGTTTCTTTTGGGGCAAGGTTTGGCATTTCGTGGACATGATGAAAGCGGGGAGTCATATAATAGGGGTAATTTCCTTGAGCTTTTGAAATGGTTAGGAGAAAAGGTTGAGGAAGTAAGACAACATACTCTTGAAAAAGCACCTAAAATTGTCAAATGATTTCCCCTTCTATTCAAAAGGACATTATTAATTGTTGTGCCAAAGAAACAACTAGGTGCATAATAGAAGAAGTTGGTGATGATTACTTTGCCATATTAGCCGATGAGTCAAGTGATGTGTCCCAAAAAGAACAACTAGCTCTTGTTTTGCGCTTTGTTAATAGAGATAGTGGAAAGGTAATGGAGCGATTTTTAGGCATTGTTCATGTTGGTAATACTACCGCTTTAACTCTTAAAGATGCAATCATGTCTTTACTTGTTGAACATTCATTGAGTCCATCTATGATAAGGGGGCAAGGGTACGATGGAGCTAGCAACATGAAAGGTGAAATAAATGGTCTTAAGACTTTGATTATGAATGATACTCCAAGTGCCTACTACGTACATTGTTTTGCTCATCAACTTCAACTAACACTAGTTGCCGTTGCTAAAAAGAATGATAGTTGTGGTTGGCTTTTTGAGATACTTGCAAATTTATTGAATGTGGTTGGAGTTTCTTGCAAGAGAAGAGAAATGATTCGACAAGATCAAGCTCAAGAAGTTGCTCGAGCATTGGATGCAGGGGATATTGTGAGTGGATCGGGTTTAAATCAAGAACTTGGTTTGAAAAGGCCCGGGGATACTCGTTGGAGTTCTTATTACAAGTCTATTTCAAACATCATCCTCTTATTTCCTACAATTGTTAAGGTACTTGTACACATTGGGAAGCATGGTGTATCGGAAGATAAGTTCAAAGCTCAAATTGTTTTAGGACAATTAGAGTCATTTGACTTTGTTTTTATTGCTCACTTGATGTTGACTATTTTTGGTTACACTAATGATTTGTGTGTTGCTTTGCAAAGAAAGGAGCAAGATATTGTAAATGCCATGGAACTTGTCACTTACACAAAATTGGTGTTGCAAAAAATGAGGGAGCAAGGATGGGATACTCTCTTAAACAAGGTAACTTCATTTTGTGCTAAACATGGTATTGTTGTTCCCACTATGGATTCTCCTTATGTTCCTCAAGGAAGATCAAGACGTTTTGTTGAAGAAGCAACAAATGAACATCATTTTCGGGTTGGAATTTTTGTAAGAGTGATTGATTTGCATCTTCAAGAACTTGATGATCGATTTAATGAGAGGAATATGGAGATACTAATATGTATGGCTTGTTTAAGTCCTAAAGATAACTTCTCATCCTTTGATAAAGATAAGGTACTTAAACTTGCCTCTTTTTATCCCGAAGAATTTTCAAGCTTTGATTTGATGGCTCTTGAATGTCAACTTGATATATTCATGGAGAATATGCTAAATGATGATAGATTTCAAGGTTTAAATGACCTTAACTCTCTTTCTATGATGCTTGTTAAAACTAATAAGCATAAGACTTTTCCTCTTATTCATTTGCTTATCAAGTTGATGTTGATTCTTCCGGTTGCCACGGCAAGTGTTGAAAGAGTCTTTTCCGCAATGACATGTGTCAAAAATAAGTTGCGAAATAGCATGGGTGATCAACTTATGAATGATTGTTTGGTCACTTTTATTGAGAAGGATGTCTTCCTAAGAGTTTCCAATGAAAAAATTGTTGATCGCTTCCAAAATATGAAGACTCGAAGGATGAAAGTGTAATTTTAATGTAATGTTTATGTAATTTTTTTCATCATTTGAATTGTATGACTAAGTATGTTTTTTATTTTGAAATTTTAATATTAAGTATTAACTAATTTGTGTGTTTGAGTTTTTTTTTGTTTTTATTTTTTGTTAAGCTATTTGTAAGTTAAGCATTTTGTCCCCCCGAATTGAAAATCCTGGATCCGCCACTGGCGGCTGTCGATGGTATTCTAGAGGATATTATCTTTGCTTGTAATGAATTCTCTTCTGTTATTTGGTCTCATGTAAAGCGGGAGGGAAACTTTGTTGCCTACCATCTAGCTAGGTTAGTGCCGAATGGTAATGAACAACTCTGGGACAATTTTGCCCCGAATGAGATTTCTCCATATGTACAGTTGGACTCTCTTTCTATAATTTAGTGCACTAACCGTTTTTCTCAAAAAAAAAATAAAAATAAAAATAAAAAAATTAAGGATCATGACTCAATGGACTCTAATCTTATGTACTACTGTATTAATATGACAATATAGGTCTATCGGAGTATGAATTTTTTTTTTTTTTTTTATAAGGTAAGATGAAGTACCCTATTGAGCCGGCACCTCTCATAGATTTAGCCAAGTCAGTTCCGCAGGTCATCGCTTGAAAGTAGAGGGGGAGGTAAGGGAATCCCTAATTGCATTTATTTTATTTAAATGGAATTAATATGTTTTTACTATAGACTACAAAGTTACCAGTTGTGATTTGTAGAATATCAAATTGGGCGATTGGACTGATTGCCAACGTTGAATAAGCCTACTCACTTGATGGGCTTAAAAGTGGGCTTGAGTGCTTATATAAAGTACTTCGTTATCAAGTAAACAATATGTCATCCATCCTTTAAAATTAGTCGTATCCTTCTGTTTATCTAAGTGTTACATTTTTGCTTATGCAGTATTTATATACATCACTTTAATCAATATTTGTGCTTTATATATAAAAGTAAATATAGTCATATTATTACTTGTATAATTGTTTTAATGTACAATTTTAAAATATCAATTTTTATAATTTGTACATATTGATGATTAAAGATATCATCAGTCAAAGTACAACATTGACATATTACGATCAAATTGTGGCACTTAAATAAAAACAGAGAGGGTACATTATTATTTTGAGATTTCCTCCCTTACCACTTTTGGTATGTTTTTTCATTTGCTCTCTTTATTATTATTGTCGAATAATGTGAAGATTGGAGATATAGGACAATTTTTTTAAAAATGGAGAGAGTAATTGAGATGTGCAGGCACAGTATAAATGAAGAGACGCATAGAGGAAATAAACCTTGCTTAATAGTATACTCGTGGAAGGACTTTCATGGTACAATCCTTTTGACTAGCTAAACTGGGTTAAAAAATGTCAATTAGTCATTAACATTTGGGCAAAACTGGAAGGGAAACATCGCATAAAGAGAAAATGAAAAGTAAAGTGAACTAAATAAAGACCCTCCAAATTGAACTAAATAAAGAGAAAATGAAAGTAAAGTGGCAATCCATCATATTTTCAATATAACATTTGGGCAAAACTAGAAGGGATAAACCAAAACGAAACTCAAAGATATCACTCGATCTCTTCAGAGTAGATTATTGTTTCACTTACACAAAAAAAGCATGGGTATTATAAGGTTTGTTTGAAACATCGCTCATATCAACTCCACCCAATTAAAAATTATAAATAAAAACACGAGCCCAAACAGGCAAATATAAAGGAACTGAGGAAATACGGACAAAAAAAAAAGTTAGCCCATTTTGGACGAAATGGATAATAGACAAAGAGGGAGCCTCATTTAATCTTAGATATTATCATTCCATTTTATCTCGTCTAACGCATTGATTTTTGTGCCACTTTATTATTTTACTTTTATCATTTAAAAAATAAAATAAAATGATTAGATTGTAAGTGGAGATATATTCGCATATTTGACTTGAATTTACCCATAGACACAACTTTTCAATTAATTGCGTTGCCGAGCAGCAGAAGTGTAAAAGTAGAAGAAAATACAACAATGGGAGTAAGCTTGGAAGGAGAAAAGGTGATATTGGTGCCATACATGAAAGAACATGTTCCCAATTACCATCAATGGATGCAAGATCCTCACCTTCTCTTTGCTACTGGCTCAGAGCCACTTACCCTTGATCAAGAGTATGAAATGCAGCTCTCTTGGTCCCAAGACCCCCTCAGTACTTCTTCTCTCTCTTTCCTCTTTCAATTTTTTTCTGTTTCCTCAAATTTTCCAGGTTTATGTTCCATAATACTTGATGGGTTTTGCTAATTTTGTGTAATTGTTGAAAATTATATACTTGGATGCATTTTCTTGGAATAGGACATGATGGGTTGTTAAAATTTTGTAAGATTTTTCACTTGTGGATGCATTTTATGTGATAGATTTTAATTCAGGTTTTGTGGGATTGATGTTGATGTTGTCATGCTTGGAGTTTTATGTATGAATGATTTAATTTAGGTTATCTGCAAGTTTATGAGTAAATGGCTCAATTAATTAGGTGCCTTAGGATTCATTGTTGTTGTACTAGTACGAAATAGAAGAAAAATGAGGAATTGTATCTTATTATCCTTGTGAATATTGCAACAACCCCTCAATTTGAATGAGTTTGGGAAGGAACGACCATAGCTTTGGTTTTAGTAAATGAAGTTAAGTGGTGTCAAAATGTTAAATGTTTAGTCAAAATGTCAGCTTTTTCTGAACTGGCAAACTAATAGGCTATCTTCTGTAATTCATTTCATAAATTATGATAGTCGAGAAATTTGTTTGCGATGAACCGATGATCATGGAAACTGCTTTTTTAAGTTATTATATGATCGAGTTAAAGGAATGGCTCCTTGTCTTCTGATATATCACAGTAAAGTAAGACTAGGTGTTGGAGGGAAGAACCAAATTTCAACTAGAATATGCTTGGTCTAGGCAGTCTTTGCTACAGGGCTAGAAACTGTCCAACATAAAGCGTCCATGGATGATTTAGAGGCAATTAGAGACACCAATGAGTCGTGCCCAATGTTCATATGCCATCATAATTGTTGATTTAAGCCTTTAAAATGATATTACATATTATGATAGGCCATTCTTCTAGATGCTCAGCAAATACATGCAGATAAACTTAACAATAAGATGCAAAGTACGGGTGTGTACTAATTGGAAAACTTACGTATCATATTCAATCGATGGTCTTGTCATTTGTATTATGGACTATAATCTGAGAGGGATAATGTGTTCAAGAAGCAATGGCCAGTGGATGTAGCTTTGTAGCATTAGGGTTCTCTAGTGTGAAGATGAAGCATACACATGGTGTCAAGAATGTTCATATTTTGAAAAAGAAAATAACAAATTAGAGTGCACTTCTCAGACTGAATCTTAAGATATTATTGGACCTCACATTAAACTTTATCATTTTACCCATACTTAGGAATCTTTTTGCCATCTTTTACAGGTTGAGGGAGTTTTAATGTTGACTCGGAAAAAAGATCGGGGTTCATTTCACCTATTTTGCACAATTGTTTCTCTTCCGTGCAGTGTGGGGTATTAGTAGATGTCCAAGATCCTACTTAGATACTAGGAGAAGTATGGAGATGGAATAGAGATGCAATGGCATGTTTCTGACAATAGGAGATGACCCAATCTAGATAAACAAATAGTCATAGTAATGGTTATGGAATATATGTATCTTTTGAGTAGCTAGAATAGCCCTTATGAATAGTGTATATACAATGAAAGATTTAGGGTAAATACAGATTTGGTTAGACCCAAAGAAAGGAACACTGGGAAAACATGTGAGGGGCTACATAATAGAGATCAAACTTGGATGGAAATCATTGGTATTGAAGAAGTAAATAGAAATGGAGGTTATATTGGTAGGCATGAGCACTGCATGTTGTGACAGACAATACAACAGATATTGAGTAGACAATACAAAAGGATACTTCAAATGCAGGCCATCTATGAATTTCAATGAGTTATAGGAGCAGAGAAGAAGTTGTGTGGGTGAAAGAAGAGGGTACAAGAGAAAGGAATCTCGGATTTTTGGTACTTAAGCTGCTTTGACATTCTGATAATATGTGCAAGTTTAGATTGAAGAGTCAATTAATAAGGAGCCCTGGCTGACATTATATGAAAAGGAGAAAGAAGCCACATTATTGTAGTTCTTTTCTAATTGATAGATTCTGTTGTTTTTTGTGTGGTTCGTCGTGCTGTGATGTTTGAAAGCATTTCTGTTGCATAATACTCGATTCATTTTTTGTAAGTTGTGGTAATTGGATATCTTTCAGAGCGCACTTTCATTGTTCTGGATAAGCAGATGATTGAGGGGGAATTTGTACTTGGCCAACCCCATATTCAAGGTAGATTTAATGTCTAATTATTCTCATGACTGGAATTTTTATGGTGCTCCTGAATCCTGAGTATTTTTTTTTCTTTCTTTATCTTCAGCTATGGTAGGTGATGTTAATATATATATGAATGATCCTGAGGACCCTCTTTTTGCGGAGATTGAGATAATGATTGCTGAGCCTAAAAGGTGTGTCCTTAATTATTTACTCATACATTCGATAGATTTGGAAATTCCTGGTTGACCCCTGCAAAAAGTTGAATGTCATTTAATAGCAGTATATAGATGTTTTTTTAAGACTGTTATTTGTGACATGATGTCCAAAAAAGTTGAGGCTTGTGCATGTATATCAATTCTTAGTCTTCTAAATAGATATTAAGTGTATTTATTGCATGATTTGCATCACTTGTTTTTGGTAATTCAATGTTAGAAATAGGTTATACACCTTTGAAAAGAATATATATGAGAAACCCTAATTGAAAGGTGAATGAATTCCTTAAGACAGTGCGAGTAACTATAAAATTTAAGGTAGTTCCAGGATGATGATTTCTTCATAAGAAAGGTAATCGTTGAAGTATAAAACAAGAATAAGTGAAGGTTTTAAGTGGTTTTTCATAGATCTCTAAAATTGGGAAGCCTTATAATTGATACCCAGGTTGCCTGTTTTTCCATACAAGACTGATTATATCTGAACCCAAATGTCTATACTTGAAATGATCAAGTGGAACGTATTCTGATGTGGCTATCTTGTGCAAGTAAATGATGTTTTTGTTACTTAATACATGAAAACTGTCTCAATGTTATGTTTGTACCCACCTGGGGTTCTTCAGTATATCCATTTGCTTGAAATTGTGGTAATTATCTCCCTAGTAGAACTAATCACAATACTTCTGACTAGTATGCTATGTCTAGAATAAATTGAGTTGCTTTCTTGCTTTACCTCATAATACGTATATGTGCGTATAGATTGAGAGCGTTCTGTTGTCTACATGTTGCTTTGGATATGACTGTGCATTATAGACTTGCATTTTAATTGCAGTATGTATATTGGCATATAGATTGGGAGTGTTTGATCGCCGTGCTACCTTGGATTGTTGGATATGACTATGCAGCTACAGACTTGTATTTTTAATTGCAGTTTGTATTATTGAGAGCGATGACATCTCTGTCAGGTTTCACTCGACACTAAAATAATGCAAAACTGTAAATTACCTATGATAGTCAAGAAGTAAAACAAAATGGCTCTGCCGAGTAATACTATTGTAGTATTTTTTTTAAAAAAAGCGTAACCATGGGCTAGAAAGTAGAAATCACTTAAGTACTGCAAATGTTTTATTTTATTAACTAGAGAAATTCACAACAAATATATCTTAAGCTATGTAATCTCTCTTGGTAGCATAGTCGTGGCAAAGGACTAGGAAAGGAAGCAGTCATGATGATGATGGCTTTTGCTGTTGAGAATGTTGGGATCCATACGTTTCGTGCCAAAATCGGAGAGTCGAATCAAGCATCACTTCTTCTGTTCCGCAAATTGGTTAGCCCCTCTTACTGCCACTTGCGTATCTTTTTTAATTACTCCTTCACACAACTTTTTCATTTTTTTTTATTTTTTTCTTTTTGTTTCTCTTACTTGGTTGATCTCTTCTTTGACACCAGGGTTTTCAAGACTCCTCGTTCAGTGAAGCTTTTAAGGAGGTGAGCTCAGGAGGAACTTTTAGATCTTTGTTCATAATTAACTAATTTTTACATTGTTTATTACTTGTCTTGGTGGATATTGAATAGGGTTGTTTGGATTTAGACTTTTCTACTTTCTGTTTTCTTTCTTCTAAATCTGGTCGATATATTACATAAGATGGCAGTCAATCAATTGCTGTAAGTTGGAACGTTGGGTTGGTAACCGAAACTGTAGCAGTCGTCACTGTATCCTCAGGATTGTAAAATCATTCCCGAGGGGAATTGATGATCTGGCTGGAGTTGTGCAGATCTTGATTTTTTTTGGTTGCTTTTCACTACAGAACTATAGAAGTTTCACCAAATCTGGCAACTAGTATCCATTATGATGTAAATTGTTTACTTCACAATATCATTTGTGCAAACTGGTACTCACTTCTTTTGTGACTTTGCAGTGGACATTGGAGTTGCCAGTAACGAAACCCAAGAGAGATGAGTTGCTGCAAAGCGTTGGTAATATGGTCACTCATTCTTAGCCTTCATCGCTTGATTGGATACATTCTTCTAAATGGCAGGGAAATTGCTAATTTTATCTCTCTTGGTCATGAAGACAATAATTCAATGACAAGAAAGAGATGATTTATTTTTAAGACACAGTGAGGAGTCAGAGCAATTTCTCAAACATTTGTGGAAACTATATGAATTAATTTATCTATTAGTGTAGCTAAAAAATCCAGCCAGATAACAAGGAAATTAAATGAGGAATAAATAGCTTTTACACTTTACATATTTGAACCTTTTTATTGATTTTTTATTTTTTTATTGTACTAGTGTTTTTGGTGATGAATAGGATATGCTATGTGTGAATTACAAGGAGTGCTTATAGTAATTCTTCTACTAAGGGTATGTTACAGTATTTATTTGCTTGAAAAAAAATCCTATATTAGGGCTACTGCCTCGAGGTTTGATCTATACTGACAGGAAATTCAGTGTTCCAGATGACCTAACATATGGTCCAAAATGTGGATGAGACTGGGGAATATCATTTGACACTGCATTCCCAGCTTGCCAGGCGATGTTAAAAGTTGTTCCGTTGCTTAGCGGGCCAAGAAGAGCAGAGATGATCATCTCATCGTTCGAGTACTCTGCCGAAAGCTCTGAGACCGGGAAACTAAGAGGTTCAGGTTTCATGCTAGGGTTGTAGCTTCTGATTTGACTAGTATAGGATTTCATATTGCCTTTCAGATCCTGGAAGGCAACCAGTGCTTGTGTTCCAACCATACCGCTTCCAGTTGGGTTAATCCCCCATGCAATCCATCCTCTAGGTGTCTGGCTTGCTCTGTATACGATGTGAATTGTTTCTGCCGTGGAATTGTAGTTCCAATGGAGATAGGCTTCTAGAACTGGAAGGTCAGCGCATGACTGAAAATCCCTCTGGTCGGAAAATTTGTAGTTTTTACAAGTTTGTGCCGAAGACACGAGAGACAAAGAAGCAATGGTACAGACTATCAGGATGGTTCTTGTGATGGCCATGAGAGCTACTTCTTTACTGATGTTTTTTTGAATTTTCTGATGGGAAAGTATGAAAAATCTAATGTTTTTACTGATGTTTAGAAAATGGCAAAATGCTATTCTATAAAGGATTTCTTGGTTTAAGAATTCGAATACAAGGTTATCTTTTTCGTGTTAAGGTGGTAAGCATTTTATATATTTCAAAGCTGTGATAAATATTATGAAGAATTTAAAATTGAAGTAGTTGGCTGCTTCAATTTTAATGTGTCATAGTTTAAGCACGGGATAATAAACATGAAATGGTAATCGAGTTTGGAAAATCTCAGTCTTGGGTGCATGCTCCAATATTTGTTGTTTATCATGTCTTTATCATTGTCTTTCCTTGCAAAATTCAGAGGACAATTTCAAATTAAGTTTTGTTTGGTTTTCTATGTTATTAAGTAAGATGGACCTGTTAACGAGGGAATAGGGGTAGTTTAGACCATTTCCCGAGATCAACTCGTATTTTATCAATCTTATGTGTTTTTATTCCAAAACTGTTACTTTTGAGTTGAAATGACAAATGTAACATAGAAGCCATAATTCTCCTGTAAAACAAGAATTGAAACCAGTTATGAAAAGCCTATATGCATATCAGCATACCAGATGTAACACCTGAAATAATAGCAATTCAAATAGAAAGCAAACGTCAAGCAGCATCACCTACAAATATTTATTGCCCTTGTATAAAACAAAAGCAATTCTTCAAATGCCGTTGACAAAATTAGACATCGACTGGTAAATATCTATTTCAAGCTAGATCTGAGACGATATGCAAACACAGAAATATCAAAAACAGTTTCTACAAATTTTCGTTTTCCAAGACAATGGCAGACTATAACTCCGAATAGCTTTCATCAAACCACATCAGGAGCATTTTGAGACCCCAATGCTTATACCCTTACGCCATAATCTTAGCAGATCTGACAAAAAGGCTGTCGACAACCTTTGCAACATTGGAAATGGTATCCAGCGTAGCTTCATAAATAGCCTCAGTCTTGGGATCATCAAAGATAATAAGGCATCCTGCACCCTGATCAAGAGTCCCTGCAAATTTCTTGTCCAAAATCATCTGAGATAATTTCCTCTCCACATGATCAAGGGGGAGTTCGATCAATTCGGCAATGTGGGCAATCTCCACCCTTGAAAATGGCTCGATCAGTCTGCAAAGATTCTGCTCCAACAGAGTGTCATAAAGAGATGATAGATGCCTGTGAACAATAGGATCTTCTTGCAGTTGATCCTTAAAGTTTACCAATGAAGCCTCAAAGAGTTTCAGAGAACGCTTTGAATAAGCATCAGCAATAGCTTTCATCGCATCAAGATCAGGGCCCAAGTACTGCAAGCCTGCTTTGGAAGATATAATTCCAGCAACATCATCAGCTTGATTCACCATGACTTTGCACAAAAGCATGTATTTCAGACTGTATACTGCTCTGGGATCCTCAAGAGCATTAAAGGCCTCAAAAGCTTCAAAGAAGTAGCTGTAGGCAGTTTTATAGTCTTTCTCCTCGGCATGGAGTATCCCACTCTGCAGGTCTATTGTCCCCTGCTGAGCTGGAGGCACGTATATGGCATTGGCTGCTGTTCTAGCTGCAGTAAGGGCAGCCTTGGCTTTGGGTAGGTTTCTCAAAGAGAAATGAAGCTTGCTCTCCAGTAACTCAATGTCCACTAAGAGAAGTTTATCATCTAATCTTCTGACCTCCTTTATCAGACCTGAAAGGAGAGACAACGCTTCAGAGTACTCCTTGATCTCCATCAACAAAGCAGCGAGTCTGGCCTCAACCCGTTGGCGAAGGAAAGTTCGTTTCTCGTCACGAGTCCACTGTACCATATCTTTGCAAAGGGAGATCTGGAGTTCAGTTGAGTTAGGTATTTTAGCCACTGTGTCAATGATTCCTCGCACAATTTTCGCAGTTTTAGCTTTGGGAATCATGGAAAAGTAGGACCTCAACTGAGTCAAAAGAATCCGAAGATCTTCAGCCTTGTTTTCTTGCCTAAGATAATCAGTGAGCTTTGTGATTGCCTGTTCCTTTATGCGCAAAGCATCAGGTGAAGAAGAAGGATCTGCAAGCACTCGCTGCAGAATTGTAATAGACTCTGCAGCACTATTCGCTTCCAGAGCCTGTTCAAGGGATTCTGTGGTTGCAGGCAGAAAATTGGCCATTGTTGTTTAGTTTTGGTGATAAAATAAAGTCCTGTGAAGACAAAATAAAGCAATATTAGCGTTAAGTTATTAGCAGTATGTTTAGTTGTATACAGTTCACACATACACACACACAAAACACCAGGAAAGAAAGAGGCTGGGTTATGCACAATACATAGTGGAACTTCAAATGGGCGAGCAAAGAAAACTAATTCTGCACTACATTACAAAAAACAACAAATAGGAAATAATAATCAATTAAAAAAAGCAACAAAATAACAACAGAAGATAGAGAAAAAATGGTTGGCAAGGAGGTCAATAACTGATTACACACTGAAAAAACTTTCCAAAGCCTAAGTTGTGGAACATAGAATAATAAGTAACATCATAGGATCATGAAAAAGACAGGCAAGCAAACACCCCCCCCCTCCTCCCATCCTGCTCCATCATCATCATGAATTCAAAGCTGCTATGGGCATCTTCAAAAGCTTGTGTATCAAAAAGAAATAAAATAAAAGTTTTAATCCTGGAATCCCCCAATAGCACAGAAACCATAGCCTGTTAGGCAGTAAATTGAAAAAGCTCAATCCAGTTAAGAAGAAAAGTCATGAATTGCCTTTAACAAACCTATAGAAGAACAACACTTGACAATGTAAACCCATTTGGACAAACACCCTCCACCAGCATTCGAGAAAAATAATCCAACCCAACTCAAAACAACCCGATTGGAGCAAAACCCGAAATTAAAACCGTCAAAGTACGAAAATTTCTCTCACACATTTCGTCAAACAGGTTCTAGGCAGAACCCAAATTTTTAAATTTCGCATAAAGACTCAACACATAGTGCCCAACATTTAAATCAACAATGGAACCACTCTTTATTAACATCCCATGAAAGATATGAAGTGTTCGTTCATCCTTCAAATCATCAATAAAAGCCAATAATTTCCATGCTGTTTAGAGGACAGAGAAGGATGGAATCGTTGAATTGGTTCCTGGGAAATCACAATCTGGGTTTCTTTAAAGAAATTAGGGTTTAAAAGGGATTAAAGCAATTACTCACCAAATTGACGGAATAACAGAACCATACAACTCACATACAGACAGCAAATATGTGGAAATCAACCGGCAAAACCATACAACTCACAATCAGACAGCAATAATTTCAATCATGAATTCTTGATTCAGATCTCAAGAAATGAACAAATATACAAGATCTAATAGAAGAAATGAACGAAAAAATCAATACTCAGCCTCACAAGGTAAATGCATGCAATTCAAACGAATTATACAAACAAATCAATCATAATCCACACCCAAAAACAGTAGTGATTTGGGACAAAAACTACAAGAAATTTAAGAACTTACAGTGAAATTTAAGATAATTGGTAGCGATTCAGAGCTATTTCACTTGACCAATCTTAAGATCTAGAAATTGAAACTAGGGGGGAGAGAGAATGGAGAGCTAACAGCACAAGAGCGGAAAAATGACTCAGTTAAGTACCCTCAGGCTTAGCCATTAGGGTATACTTGTACAATAAGGATTTTTTTTTTATTTTTTATTTTTTATTTTTTATTTTTTTTTTAATGCAAAATAAGAGATTTGGCTTAGCCCTAAATTTAAAATCAAAGCCAATATAGGTTGGGTCACAACTCACAAGTCATATCACTAAGGTGAGTTCAACAGGTTGAGTTTGGGTTGGTTCAATTGAACCTGATCCAATTAGTTAAATGGGTTAGGCACTTCTTAGGCAAGTTTTATTTATTTTTATTTATTTATTTTTTTTTTTTTAATTCCTAGACAAGTTATTTGTGAGTTGAAATCTTCAATTTAAACCTAGCCCATTTAAATTTTGAGCCGTTTTGGGTAGACATTTGAAGATCTCGGCCAAAACCCATAATTTCGATTCAACAAACTCTTATTCAAATGTTTTGACAACAGATATGTTTGAGATGCCGCGATGGCATATTTTGGGACATTTCAAATGTATTTCAGCCATTTCATATCTAACAGTTTTCTATAATTCCGGAAAGCCAAGAGCTACCAGTTTTAGTGGAAGACAAGGATAATCTCCAACTGCAAACTAATCATGCTACACTTCCAAAATAAAGTTGTAGCAGTTTAAGAAACATCAGCAGTTATAAATTTGTATGTCTAATACACTGTTATAAAGGTTGTTCTCAAAGTAATGTTTCATGATTTACAGGGTAGAAAACCCATACCCAATACTTACCGTTACAAATAGATAATTCATGCAATGACGCAACTATGAACCCCTAGCAAAGATGAAAGAAAGGTTAATAAGACTGAAAAGAGGGGAGAACAATTTATCTGATTGAAATTGGTTGAAGTGGTACTTAAAAGCGTCACAGGAGCTGCTTTAGGCTACAAAATCACAGTGGTATTTGTATGCATGTATGTAGAAAGGCATAATTGGGTTAACACCAAACTAAGTTACTAGTATATTATTGGGTTTGGGGGCCTTAATTTCTGAAAACGTTAGTTTGAAGATCTATAATTAGATAATTCTTGGTAAAACTTAAATCAATATTTTATTCATATTCTAAATAATCACAAGTTCGCACAATTTTGACTTTGGCACTATTTATACAATAACTCTAACCACATTTTCATACGAATATATAAAGTCAAATGTTATTGTGTAATATGTTACAAGTATTGTATTAGTCTAACTATATATTTTTCAAATACTAACAATTATACTTATTACAAATATTAATGGTCACAAACTAATGCATTGATAAATGTGTCACTTTGGAAATATCGTGTCCAACAAAAGTACCCAATTTAACTACAAATTCTCCATGTCCTAAGTTTGAGCGCCATGTCAAATCATTCTCGTATATGACACTCATACCAATGGTCCCTAATGATGTGTTTGGATAAAGAAATGGAAAAGAAAAGGAGGGGGGGGGGGGGGAGGTGAAGGGGAAGGAA